GCTCTTCCCGTACAGTTCGCCATGAATACTCTCTCTCCGCCGCATTCCGCCCTGAAGCTCCGCCGCTGCGCAACCAAGGAGCCGCCGTCTTCTTTCAGCGTGCGTTGCTTAGGTAAGACCCTCTTTTCGTAGTTTTTTTATGGCTTGAGGCGTGCTTGCTATTTCTAGATTCGCGACACTGTAGATTTGAGAGTAATTTCGCTGTAAATTCGAGGATTTTTCGTTCTAATGGTGTTGAAATTGTTGTCTAAAACTCTCAATTCGAGGAGATTCATGTTTCTATTGTTTCAATTTAGGTGCAACGTTTACCAAAAAAAAAAAAAAAAAAAAATCGGTGCAAGGTGCTGTGTTTCTCGTAGCCTATTTCTGATATGGAAGAACTCATGAATAGTTCTTATAATTGCAAGTGCATTTCACCGAGAAGCTTCTATGATATATGAAGAGGTAATTGTGAATTGATGTTTGTATATGTTCAGCTGGAGAAATCGGAGACGATGGTCCTCCTAAATTCATGAAGAAATCGCCGGCTAAAGAGCTGGCATGCATTGCTTGTGGCGTTCTTGCTGCGTGTACTGTTACATTTGCTTCTCCCGTAATTGCTGCTAACCAGGTGAGCCTATACACTTCTTCTTCTGTTTGGAATATCTCCTTGTCGTTTCTCCCTATCCTTGGAACTGAATGATCATTGCCATTCAGCCCACCTCATCTTTCACACCGTAGTTTATTGTTCCTTGTCTCGATAATTTGATTTAGCGTTGTTTGGTTTTCGCTCTGACAAGCTTTAACCTGCCCTGAATTCCATCATATGACTGGTTTTTTGATTGTTTCTTGCGCAATGGCTCATTACGTATGATGGACATTGCAAACACAAACCTTTCACTTCTGAGGTCGGCTCCTCGATTTGTAAAAGAGTTCAGCTTGCTTAACTAAGAGAATTGTATGGTCTCTTAATGATTGTTGGATGCTTTCTCATCTTTCTTAGTGCATGCATTAACTGAACCTAATGTGACAAGCTCATGAATTGCTAAAGCTAGATAAAGAAGGTGATGGTTAAGGAAAATTTTCAAGAACTGAGTATGGTTTATTTTTCAGAGACTGCCTCCCCTTTCAACAGAACCAAACCGATGTGAGCGTGCATTTGTCGGTAACACGATAGGTCAAGCGAACGGTGTTTACGACAAGCCACTTGATCTCAGGTTCTGTGACTACAGCAACGATCAGTCCAACCTTAAAGGCAAAACTCTCTCGGCGGCCCTTATGTCAGACGCCAAGTTTGATGGAGCCAACATGACAGAAGTTGTAATGTCAAAGGCTTATGCTGTCGGAGCAAGTTTCAAGGGTAAAACGCCACCACCACCATCATCATCACACCCCCCACTTTCATTGCAACACTGAAGTGTTTTGGTCTGAAGATGCTCGTATGATTTCGCAGGTGTGGATTTCTCGAACGCAGTTCTCGATCGGGTCAATTTCGGGAAAGCTGATCTACAAGGAGTCGTGTTCAGGAACACCGTGTTATCGGGATCCACATTTGACGAAGCGAAACTGGAAGATGCGGTCTTCGAGGACACAATAATCGGTTACATCGACCTGCAGAAACTATGTACAAACAAAAGCATAACTGAAGAAGGAAGAAGTGAATTGGGTTGTCGATGATCATAGGATTTCTTCAGGATTATCCGACGAGGAGCTTCTGTATTTACGCTACCAAGTCTAAGTTTTTTTCCACAGAACATGAGCAAGCACGTGAAGTTGAAGGAAAGGAGACACAAGAATGAACATGACACTGTTTGTAAACCAATCTAGGCTTTGTCTCATTATCTTCTTTCCTATGCTTTATACTGTGGAGCTATAGATACATATGCTTATGCTGTTGAACGTTTGATAATGATATTATTCTTGTTCCATTTTGCAGATGCGCCAAATTTTTTTTCCCCATATTGAAAGTAATTTTTTGGTGTAACGTTTTCTAGTTTTTTGTTTGGATTTTTTTTTCTTCACTTGTTCAGGGAAATTAGATTCGAGACACAACAGAAAGCTTTGTGGGTTGCAATGTCGGCCCATATTCGCTGGTTTTTTACGTCGACCCTGGATTCGCTCGCACACTCTTCTTCACAACCTTTTCTCTTCAAAGTTGGATGCTTTCAGCCATAAAGAAATCGAAAAATCGAGCCTTGGGATTTAATCAATTGTTTTTTGTGTTCACGCTTCTTAGATTTTGACGAAATACTGGTTTTGTCTTGTCTCCCGCTCTTCTGGGGCAGATCTAACCTGAGGAGAAGGCGAAGGAGAAGAAGAGGATGAGCGGCCAAACGGCGTCGTCTTCGTCTCCGGCGAGGAAGACGAAGAAGGAGGGTTTGGGATGGATAGAGTGGTTTCGAGGATGGACTAATGTTTTTCAGGAGATTCTCTTCCAGAGAATCATGGCGTCTCACTTGCAGAACCCTCTTCCTCTTCCTCCTGTCAACGACATCACCTGCATTGTCACCGGCTCCACCAGTGGCATTGGCCGCGAGACCGCTAGGTATTTCTCTTTTCTCTTTCCTTCTACCCTCGAAAATGGTTCCGATATCGGGTTTTACTGGTGCGCCGTTTCTTCTGATGCTTGATGCTGCTGAGGTTTTGACCGAGACCCAGTTGTGGAAATTCGTCGAATTTTTGAACCTGTGTGGTTTTGTTGGCTAGTTCGTGTGATTTCGTCGTTTTTGATCGAAAGAAGTGGGATTCGTTTGGAATTGAGTCGATGAAACTCTCAAGCTTTTTTAGCTTTCTGTTCATCTGTTCAAGAATGTGGCTTCTTTTGGGTATCATAGGCAATTGGCAGAGGCTGGTGCACATGTTGTAATGGCGGTGAGGAACACAAAGGCGGCTCAGGAGTTGATTCAGCAATGGCAGAACGAGTGGTCGGGTAGAGGCCTTCCACTTAACATCGAGGTAATCAGACGTAACTTGGTAGCCTTTTAGATAGGTAGTTTGGTTCCTTGTTATTCAGATGGAGATAGATTGCCTGATGATGATAGTATCTTTTGCTTTTGTCAAGGCAATGGAACTTGATCTTCTCTCTCTGGATTCCGTCGTGAGATTTGCCGATGCCTGGAACGCACGTTTAGGACCTTTGCATGTTGTGATTAACAATGCCGGCATATTCGCTATGGGGGGTTCGTCTTTTTCTGTTGAGCTTTAAATTTCCTTCCTTTTGTACATGGGCTTTCAGCTTTGAGTTCCATAATATTTTGTTATTCTTTTATGGTCTCAAAATTGTATTTCTTCTACCCTTTAGCTCATGTATTTATTTAGCAGTTCTGTTAGTTCATTGATTTGTGAGAAGCTAGATCCTCATGGACAAAAATTATGATGATGGCGATATATAGTATGTTCTTTCTTTGAATAAATTGGTAGTCAAAAGGCTACCTTTCGGTGCAATATGTGTAGAGAAAAGCTGGCTGAAATGCTTGGCGTTTTGATTTTGTCTGCAGAGGCACAAAAGTTCTCAAAGGATGGTTACGAGCAGCACATGCAAGTGAACCATCTGGCTCCAGCGTTGCTTTCAGTACTTCTTTTGCCGTCGCTTATCCGAGGCTCCCCAAGTCGGATTATTAATGTCAATTCTGTCGTAAGTTCTATGGATCACAGAAACTGCGAATTTCGGTTTTCTAGTTTTGCAAATTTCCGGTTTTGATAATGATTTTGAGAATCCGGTTTGGTTATTATGTTCTGTGAATTCAAAACTTTGGTTTACAGTTAGAATTTGTTTCCCGTAATTACTAGACTAAACATATAAGTTTTTCTTGGTGGTAATTTGTTGCATATGTTCATTATATCTGCTATCAGAATTCTGATGTATACAGTAACTGATATAAACCAAGAACTTATGCAGATGCATCATGTTGGTTTTGTTGATCCGGATGACATGAATGTTGTTTCCGGTAACAGAAAGTATTCGAGCCGCATAGGATATTCAAGCAGCAAGTTGGCACAGGTGAACACATAAGAAAGATAAACGAACAAAACTGATGTTCCGTTTGCTGCAGTTTCTTATTCAGACAGGGCTTTCTCTCGGAACTAAGTTTATTTCCCACCGAAGAGTTCAGTTTCTGGTGCGCTTTGTTCTGCAGGTTATGTTTAGCAGTGTCCTTTTCAAAAGGCTGCCTATGGAATCTGGCATTAGTGTTGTATGTCTATCTCCTGGTGTTGTCCTAACGAATGTTGTAAGTGATCTTCTCACATTATACATATGATTGTGTGCTCCTTTTCTCAGAACACCCGTCACGTAAAATTCACATCTTCTGGAATTGCAGGCGAGGGATCTTCCTAGATGTCTTCAAGCTATGTATGCCGTGATACCTTATTTCATATTTTCGCCCCAAGAAGGATGCAGGAGCTCCCTTTTCTCGGCCACAGACCCTCAGATCCCTGAATACTGCGAAACGCTGAAAGCTGATGATTGGCCTGTTTGCGCATTCATTTCTCAAGATTGCCGCCCGACGAACCCTTCCGAGGAGGCGCATAACCTGGAAACTGCCTACAGAGTGTGGGAGAAGACGCTAGAAATGGTCGGTCTCCCTCTCGACGCTGTTGAGAAGCTCATGGAAGGGGAAGAGGTCAAATGCCGTTACGGTGGGCACAGCGACGAGTAGGTCTTTCGCAAGGTTTCTTAGAATTGGACCCAGGAGCCTTCACAGGTTGCGGAAGAGAAACATAGGATTGGATGTATGAGGGAATTGCTTTATTTTTGGTCTACCCATTTCAAAATGCAGCTCCTCAATATACATGTTTGAGGGATTATATGATGAGTTAGCTGCATGAAGATAATGGGTCAACGGGGGGTCTCTGTAGGGTTTATAGGGGAAGGTTTGATTGTCGGTTTGAGCTCTCTCCCATTCCATGAAACTATTGAAGTTTGTGGCTTTTCCCCCCAATTTGCTGTCTGAGTAAAGAGTCGTTAGTGTGGTTTGTATGGAAATTGGATTTTCTCATGTACCCATTGAAAAAAAAACAGCAGAGGTTTTATTTGTTCTTTTTTTTTTTATCAACGGGGGAGTTCACCGTAACTTCGATCCGACTACATCTTTCACGGCTAATTAATTGCACTTCCTCTTCCCAAAGGAATCAAAATTTTCAAAAAACCGAATTTTATAAATTTTCGAAAAATCAAAATTTTCTTAAGAAAATCTAAATTTTGTTAACAAAACCACAACCGAACCGTATCGAAATAGGAATCGAACCTATAATGTTAATTTTTCAAAGTCAATTTATATCTCAACCTTCTAAAATCGGTGATAATTTCGTATACAAACCGTAACCACGTAAAAATTTCGTCCACGGGTGTTGTTCCAAAGGTGCTGCAAATTGAATAAACAAAAATAAAATATATACACATATATTCATAAACACAAACATATATGCATACATTTATGTCCGTATATATGTGCATATGCATGATATACCGAGGCCACGGACCCTGGAGATTCTTGAATAATGTTGCCTTTTCTTTTTGATCTCCCTCTGTGAAGAATTTGTGTGTGTGTGTGTATATATATCTTTTGTTGTAACATAGAGAAGGTCAGGGTGGAATCGAACTCAAAAATCTTGGTTCTGGATTTCATTTTCATACAAAGGTAGCGTGAATCTCATGCATTGAAGTATGTGGCCATGCTTCCATGGCGACAGCATGTCTCATGTATTTGTCAAGATGGGACCATGCACCCGTTCAAAGCTTCGAGCTTTTTAGTATGTGTGTGTGTAAGTAGAAAATTTACTAAAATTAAAGAAATTTGTTGGGGAGAGGAAGGGAAGAAAGAAAATTAGGGCATTACACACGTCGATTGATTTCCCCATTAGCCGCTTCTGCGATCTGTCACTTGCCGCTGATAGTTTTTGTGGAGGAGGAGGAAAAAAAGAGATTTGCGTGAAGCGGTGAAAGCAGAAAAGGTCTTTCCTTTTCGTCTCTGCAGATTTCTAGGGTTGGATTCCTACCTTCTTACCTTTCATGGGTCTCCTCTGATTCTGTAGTTTTTGGGTCAGAGGTTAGGGGTGTTCTCTCCCATCACCGCAGGCGTTTGAATCTCGTTATTTTTTTCTTGGGGCCGCGAGATTTAGATTTCGGAAAATGGGTGACTGGTATCAGCTCGTTCAGTCGATCGTCTTGGGTTTGATCTTCTCTTACCTTCTCGCGAAGCTGATCTCCGTCGTCGTCGCGTTTAAAGACGACAACCTCACCGTCACGCGCCACCGCCAAATCCCATCGGAGGAGGACTCTCGCCGAGTCGAATCCGTCGCCGGCGGCGGAGACGCTGATTCGCTCGTGGCGGAGCAGGGGAGCGTGAGGGCTGAGAGCGCCGGCGGCGGCGGAGACGACGAGGATGAAGACGAAGACGACGACTGGGAAGGCGTGGAGAGTACGGAACTGGACGAGGCGTTTAGCGCTGCAACGGCGTTTGTGGCGACGGCGGCTTCGGACAGGTTATCGCAGAAGGTACCTAACGATGTTCAGCTTCAGCTTTACGGATGGTTCAAGATTGCTACAGAAGGTCCATGTACTTCTCCGCAGCCATCTGCTCTCAAAATCACTGCTCGTTCCAAGTGGTATACTTCTCTTGATTCCGATTAGATTCTTGGCGTTTCCTCATTGGTGAACTGAGTGAAGGATTCAACCAAGTTTTGGTTTTGGCATCAGAATGGTTTCTTGTTTTTAGGATTTGCACTTTGATTGTTGTTGGCATATAGGCAAGCATGGCAGAAGCTGGGTGCTATGCCTCCTGAGGAAGCCATGGAGAAGTACATTGAGATTGTCACTCAACTCTACCCAAATTGGGCCACTGGTTCTGTGGTAACAAACAAGCTTCTTCTCCTTTCGCGTTCCTCTGGAATCCTTGACCCGATCTTTCTCTTTATTCTCCATTGTTGATTTGTGTAATACTCTCTTTCTTGGCATTTAGAAGGGTAGAAGTCGGGATGGTGATGGCCCAAGCTCCGACACGAGAGGATCATCGATGGGGCCAGTTTTTAGCTCACTGGTGTACGAGGAGGAATCTGAAAATGAGTTGTAAGATTCTTTAGCTCAGCAAAATTATCCCATGTTGCAAAACCGGAATGAATGGAAAAGAAGAATTCATGGCCGACCCCAAATAAACTTGGGATTAAGGCGATGTTGTTGTTGTATTTAGAGCTTTAGCCTCTTCGATTTTTTTTTTACGATTACAATTTGCACTGCAGAAAGTTTAACACTTACTTTCCTTTCTGTTCCTTCTCCTCAGGAAGATGGATGCCATCCATGCCTTTGCTAGAGAAGGAGAAGCCGAGAATTTACTGAAATGCATTGAAAGCGGCATTCCCGTAAATGCAAGGGGTCAGTCTCGGTCTTGAATGTTTTTATTCCATTCTTTGAAAGTTCATTCTCATAATGTTGATCTGCTTCGAAATCTTCCCTTTCCTTCCTCTGGAAAACGGCAGACAGTGAAGGCCGGACTCCATTGCATTGGGCTATAGATCGTGGCCACCTCAACGTTGCCGAAGCATTGGTTGATAAGAATGCAGATTTGAACGCAAAGGTTAATAATATATATATATATCGATACAATCTACCGACGACCCCCTTTGTCATTCTCTTCCTCACTCTGTTCTTGCTTGGTACTGATTCTGATTAGGACAATGAAGGGCAAACCCCTCTGCATTACGCTGTTATGTGCGACAGAGAAGCCATAGCCAAGTTTCTGGTGAAGCGGAAAGCAGATACGACCCTTAAAGATGAAGACGGAAACACCCCTCTCGATATATGTGAATCAGACTGGACCTGGATGCATGATTAAAAGAAGAAAACTGAACTAACACTCTGGCCTTTGCCTTGTGGGGAATCTTTACTAGTTTCAGTCCTAATTGTGCATGTACATGAGTATGAACAAGAAGCTCTTCATTCATGTCTTCCTCCTGCGTTTCCCCGCCATGAAACAAGTGTAGAACTTGGATGTTTCAAGGTGTTTTTGTCGGCTCATGTTCGAGCAAATCTTGGGTTTTTTTTTTGTCAGGTTCATGTTGTTTGGATGATAATTTGGATACAGAGTGGTGAAATTTAATTTTATTCCATTCATGGGCTATATATAGAACTTTCCTCGGTTTCAAAGGAAACCCTTTTCTTATCTTTGGAATCTGAATAGATGAATCACCGATTCTCTCGCTGTCTTGGTGGATAATTAACACCAGGAGCAGAGAAGGAAAGAGGAAAAGACTAAAGAAAGAGAGCCATTAAGGCAAAATCCCCTTTATGGTTACCTTGTAAGCTCTTCATCTTGTCCTCTCTCTCTCTCTCAGCAGAAACCCTGCCTTGGGCTGTCTGAAAATGGCCAAGGCGGTGGTTTACACGCTCCTGTTTGCCGTTTTCGTCGTCTTTGTTATCTTCTCCCCGATGAAGCAACGCCCGAGTCAGTCCATCGAAGGTCTAATCAGCCGCCGTCTTGGCCATAAGTTCCACCCTCCTGCCTTTGATCCTCTGGTAACGCGGATAGAGAGGATGTCTTGGGAAAAAGAAGCATCTCCGAGCAATGGCACCATCCATGTGGATGCCGCAGCTAGGGTTTCTGCCGAGGAAGATATGTTTGAAGAGTATTTTGCCGAGGAGGGAAAGGTAAACACGACGATGAGGATCAAGTTCTTGTTTCCATTGTTAGACGCAGCGCCAAGAGACGGGTTTGTGAGCTTGAAAGAGCTTCAGACATGGATGATGCAACAGACAGAAGACAACATGGGTTACAGAACAGCCAAAGAACTCGACTTGCGCGATAAAGACAGAGACGGATCCATAAGTTTCGAAGAGTATTTGCCTCAGTTCTCGAAAGAAGATATCGGTAGCAAAAAACCTCAGCCGAATTCTTTGCCTTGAAGTCTTTTTGTTGAATCTGTTACATATATCCGTGACAGAGTTTGTGTTTATGTTCGCAGAGAGGAACGAGAAGGGTCACGGAGAAGCTGGTTGGTGGAAGGATCAGTTCAAGAATGCAGATTTCGATCACAATGGATCTCTCGACATAGAGGAATTCAACAAGTAAAACTTCATTCAAATCACTTTATATGTTCCCGTTTCATCGGTTTTCGCTGGTGTCTGAGCTCGTAAACCTCGAAAATTTTACAGTTTCTTACACCCGGAAGATAGCAGAAACGGAGATATCCAGAGATGGGTTCTGAAAGAGCGGATAACGTAAGCGCGAAAACCCGTTGAAACTCGTCTGTACCTCTTCGGTCACGAGGCTGAAAATCTCGAAATCGTTGGCAGGGGAATGGACAAGAGCGGTGATGGTAAGCTGGACTATAAGGAGTTTCTGGAGAGCGCGTACGAAATGTACAGGGAGTTTGCAAAGTTCGAGACAGAGACAGAGGATGATCATGTTCCGACAGCACAACTCCTGTTTGCAGAGCTCGACAAGGACAAGGACAGGTTCCTCGTAGCCGATGAACTCAGACCCATCGTCCGATATCTTCAACCCGGTGAAATGAGTTACGCTAAATACTACTCTTCGTTTCTCTTCCACGAGGTGATTCGCCATTAAAACCCATCCGAGAGAACAAAAAAAAAAAAACGATTCGTGAATCTCTTTATGATCGATGCGCTTCTAATGATCTCAGGCTGATGATGATAAAGATGGTAAACTTTCGTTGGATGAGATGTTGAACCACGAAGATGTGTTTTACAAAGCTGTTCATCAGGACGATGACGATGACGACGACGAGGAAGACGATGATCATGACGAACTCTAGATTTCGAACTATGGAGTTTGATTATTTTTTTTGGAGATACAAAAAAAAAAACAAGTGTTTGTAGCTATAGATATGTAATGGTTACTACTACAATTCATCCTTGGCTTACATTCGTTTCGATGCCTTTGTGCAAATATTTTGGCCCATTCCGGAATGTTTGGAATCCGGGTAGGCGCGGGTACTTACCATTAATGAATTCGAGTCTGGATGAAAAAAATCCGAAAATCGGGTTCGGATATGCGTGGATACTCATATAAGAGTTCGTATTCTTAATAATCACGAGAAAAGGAGGGGGAAATGCTTCTCTATAATCTTTTTTTTTTATAATATGTAATTTGTCAATCGTGGAGTTCGAATTTGGGTGGAGGACTCTAAAACCTTATTTGATTATGTCACATACATCTTTCTTCTCTCCCCTCGTGACTTTGTTTCCCTCAAAGTCTAATAGCCTCATATTTCAGTTGTGATGTCGCGCGTCGATGGCCGACCCTTTACCATTAGGGGCGCGTTTACTCTGGTTTCAATTCGGATTCGGTTATTTTAATTTAAAAAAAACTACCATCGTTTGGTTTTTATATTAAATTTGATCCGGTTCGGTTATGATAAAATACTCATTTTTAAATAAATTTAAGGTTATTTCAATTATTTTTTTTATTAGATTCGATTCGAAGTGGAATTCAGATTTTAAAATAAATTTAAGGTTATTTCAAAATTACAAAATGTGCCATTAATGGTGTGTTGGTGTTTTCCCTATTTTGGTTGAGAAACTCTTGAGAAGAAGAAGCAACCTCCACCACATGATATACGCGTAATGATATGACTATACATACAAGTTCAATAATCTGTAAAAGATGGCATGAACATGTTATCATCTTTCATGTATAACTATATACGTACGTACACTACGATTGAGCTACGGCCAATTTCTTCACAAAGACAGGTAGGATGACATCCATATACCGAAAGAAACTATACCGATGGTAGCTAGGGCTTGAACCAGTTCAAGCACCGTGTTTGGCTTCTGCACCGGGAGGTTTCTCCAGTCTGTCCGCCTGTTTGCATATGCGTAAATAAATCGGATAATGAGGTATAGACACTTACGAAAGAACGCCGAGGAGGAGTTCATAGGCTCAAACCTCGGACGAAGAACCTACCCTATATCGGCAATGATAATGCTGATGTTGTCCTGTGAGCGTTGGTCCTGTGTTATGGAAATGGAAACGTTATAGGTCAGTTTCGGGTTATCCATAGAGTCCTATTGAAAGAAAAGCTCAACGAGGTTTCGTATTTATTACCAGGGCCGCTTGTGCAAGAGCTTCACAAGCAAGCTGGAAAAAAAGAAGGAAGAGAAACCCGAGAAACTATGTTCAGGCTAACATGGCAGAAAAGAAAGAGATGTGAAAGAAAACAAAACTTGCCTGGACATTCCCATGTTTCCGGAGTTGATCTCTTACGTACTTGACCACGTCTGAACTGAAACGGGAAACACAGATTTGAGATTCAAATGCAGATAACGGATTAATCGGGAGGGAAAGA